ACACACACACACACACACACACACACACACACACACACACACACACACATCTTCCCCACACGTCTTTTTGCTCCTGACTTTGAACAAAGGATGTCCAGCTTCTGTCCCAGGAGGCCTGGGATTAAAGCTACAACCATGGGTAGAAGCCACCCAGAGTTTGGATTTAGTCTGATTTTTCACACAGGCCAATGATCCCTAAATTTTATTTAGTAGTCGCAGAGAACTCTGTCACCATAGCAACTGGGACTGACTGATATCAGATGTTTTCTTATAAGCAGGGGGCTCAGAATTCTGACTCTTCCCTCGTACCGTGTGGTGAGAGCTGTGTGTCCCCAGCCAGCCCTAGGCGGAAGCCTTCCCTACAGGGGCTCTAGACACGGTGCCTTGGTCCCGTGTAATTTGCCACTTCCCCTTGATCTACTCACTCTGGCCCCATAGGAGAGAGTCCACATATTGGCTTCTGGGGGGCAGATAAACTCCTAGAGAGTGGAGTCATGTGTTTTCTCAGTGAACAGGAGATAGCTGATTTTAGAAATTGTGTTTTCGTGGGAAAAAGGGTTTTAAAGTTTCCCGTGTTAATAACTTCTTGGAAATTTGGGATGAATGGCAAATTGTCACCCTTGGAGCTCAAGCTGGTATCAAACAGACTGTTGGCTTTGTGAGGTAGGGACAGCAGTCAGTGTGGTCCTTCACACAGCCCTCTCTCTTAGCTCCCACCCCTCAGTCCTTCCAGCTTCTGCCATGAGCTTTCTATTGGAGCCACGGTTGTGCGGAAGTTCCTTGCTTAGGGCTGATGCGTCTTCCACTCCCATGAGTCCCTGTTAATCAGGACACATTCTGGTCACAATCTGCCTTCCTAATGCTGTGACCCTTTAATACAGTTCCTCATGTTGTGGTGACCCCCAACCGTAAAATTATTTTCGTTGCCACTCTATAACCCTAATTTTGCTACTGTTATGAATCGTAATGTAAATGTGTGTGTTTTCTGATAGCCGTGGGTGACCCCTGTGCAAGGGGTCATTGGACGCCTAAGGTTGAGAACCATTGCCCTCGAGGCCTGCTAGAAGATGAGGCTGGTCTTCCTGCCTGCCATGATTGCATTACCCCTTGTATGAGGTGTTAAAGGGTTTCCCCCCGAGAAGTCCAGACCCAAGGATAAAGAAGCTCTGGTTCTAGGTGGGCACTCCATGACAGCCATTAGGGCTACGTACTCAGAACCTCCTATACTAGGCCTCTGTCCGCCACTAAGCTATCTGGGCTCAGAAAGGTCCCCAAGAGCCGCCGAGGCAGAGCCTCTACCCCTGCCTCTGTGCTCCCTTCAGTGTGGGCATCTCCGCGCTCTGAGTCTGTGGCCATATTAGCCGAGGAAAGGCAAAGGCGGTACATATCCGACGCGATGGGGGGGGCAGGTGTCATGCCCCATGACATCTGTGTATTTCCCTCCCTTTGCATAGCCAGAGCAGAGAATGGAGGTCACCAGGCCCACGTTAGAGCTGAAGGAGGGGACCAGTGAAGCACAGAGAGGCACCTAGGGCTGCACGGCTGGGACAAACCAGAGCCCGGATGTGACCTGTGTTTTGGGGTGTGTGGAGACATTGCTCACTTGAATTGGGGGTCTGGAGGAGACCAGCTCTGTGTAGGTGGGGTTCACAGAACCGTTGGTAGGTACACCGTGCGAGGAAGATTCAGTGTGTAAATTCAATCGTCACAGAAGCCCCGCTGGAGACTGCCCTCGTCATCCCTCACTGCGGCAGGTTTTGTGGCTGTTGTTCTTCCCCTCCCGTGCGATGAGAAATGCTGTTTGAATAACCGATGGCAAGGGAGGCTGTGCACACTCCAATGAGGAAATAAAAAACCTTCGGAAAGATGCAATTTGGGGGATATTGGAAACCAGAGAATGGAACATCAGTCTATAAAATTCAACACGGCCAATAAAGCTGGCGCAACTGGTCAAGTGCTCTAGTGCGCTCGGTTGCCGGGGAGGAGGCAGGCCCGGGCTGGGCAGCGCGTCTAAGCGTTTGTCCTCAGCTCATTGTGGGCCCATTTGCATAATGCACCTCATGATTCTGAAGCACCTTAGCATTAGCGTCATGAGCACGGCCGTGAAAGCGTCTGAGAGTATTCCCGTCACGGGCTTAGCTGCACCTTCCAGAGCCTGTGCTGCCACAGCCAACCCAGAACAGCGTCTCCGCCACAGTAGAGGCTCACATACCTGTGTCCCTCTTAGACGGTGACCACCCAACCCAGGCTTGTGTTCTATGGCGCGTGCACATGTCACGGGGGGAGCCTGTACGGCCCAGCTCAGCACTGCAAAGTAGTTCTGAAGCCCTGGGTCACCAGCACTGCAAACACACACACACACACACACACACACACACACACACACACACACACA